GTGTTTTTTGCGAGAATTTACGGTTTATGGGATTTGAGGTATTTATGGTAAATTATGGACAGGCAGGAGATGGGCAGCAGCATCTTCCTGATAACAGCAACTGTACGATAAAAAAAAACTGCGGTTGCCAACCCGCTCGCCAAGCGTGGCAACTATGGCAATATACCCCCCATGAACAATTACACAAATAGACGGCCCCCAGTCCCCGGCGGCTCCGCTATTCCTGGCTACGGTGGCGACCATGGTAACGGCGGGGCAGGGGGTGCTAAGAATCTCCGGTGGAGGTTCGGTTGCCATCTACGACGACTCGACCTGGCAACATTTAACGCACGCACACTGAGGACTGACGAGAAGATCCTGGAGCTGGAAGAAGAGATAGACAAGTTGCGCTGGAGTATTATAGGATAATCCGAGGTCCGAAGAGAGGGGGAGGACACGGTGATTCTCGAATCCGGCAACTTGTTCTATCACCGGGAGGGCGACCATCTGTCCCAAGGAGGTGTCGGATTTATCGTCCACAAGTCTCTCGTCAACAACGTTGTAAAGATTGGGAGTGTGTCGACGAGGGTCGCGTACCTGATACTCAGAATCACCAAACGGTATTCGCTGAAGGTCATACAGGTTTACGCACCAACCTCGGCACATTCCGATGAGGAGGTGGAGGAAATGTATGAGGATATTTCCAAAGCCATGCATTCCTCCAAAACCCACTACACGGTGTTGATGGGAGACTTCAACGCAAAACTAGGCACAAGAGAAAACGGTGAGCTGAAGTTAGGGAAATTTGGAATAGGGCAACGGAACCGAAGGGGCCAGCAGCTGGCCGACTTTATGGAGAAAGAGGGACTCTTTATGATGAACTCTTTCTTCCAGAAGCGGCCCCACAGGAAGTGGACCTGGTCGAGCCCCGACGGTTCGACAAAAAATGAGATTGACTTCATTATGACGACCAGACGCCAACTGTTCAGTGATGTCTCAGTGATCGCAAGGGTGAAAACTGGCAGCGATCACCGAATGGTTAGAGGCACACTGAACCTAAACGTTAAGTTGGAGAGGTCTCGTCTAATGAAGTCAACGCTCCGTCCCCCTCGTGCTCTAATCCAGAATCCCGAAAACTTTCAGCTCGAGTTACACAACCGCTTTCAGTGCCTACAAGATTGCAATGCAGTGGACGATATGAATGACAAGCTCGTGGAAACTGTCCATGCGGTCGGAGCTAAGTTCTGCAAGACCCGCCGCAGAAGAACACAAAAACTCTCCGATCACACTCTTAATCTCATGGCTGTTAGACGGGAGATGAGGCTGCAATCGTCAACAGATTTGACAGCATACAGGCAACTGAACAGACAGATCTCCAAATGCATGCGGCGAGACTTACCGCAGCTTTAATACTTCTCGTATTAAAGAAGCGATCGAGCGGAACCAGGGCTCCAAAGTCTTTGCCAGAGATCTGTCTGCCAGAAAGAGCCAACTGTCAAAGCTGAAGACTGAGTGTGGCAACATCGTTTCCGGGACACCTGAGATTCTGAGTGAGATTGAGAGGTTCTATGGGCAGCTGTACACATCATCGTTGGAGCCACACTCAAGTGTGAGTAACGATCCAAGAGCAAGTCTTATCCGACACTATTCCGATGATATCCCGGACGTCAGTCTGAGCGAGATTAGAATGGCTCTCCAACACCTTAAAAACGGCAAGGCCCCGGGCGAGGATGGAATTACAGCGGAGCTTCTGAAAGCGGGTGGAACACCGGTACTTGAAGTCCTTCAGAAGCTCTTCAATTCCGTCCTCCATGGTGGCACTACTCCAGAGGCGTGGAGCAGAAGTGCGGTGGTCTTGTTCTTTAAGAAAGGCGACAACGCTCTCTTGAAGAACTACAGACCGATTTCCCTTCTGAGCCGCGTCTACGTGCTGTTTTCGAGAGTCATTACGAATCGTCTCGCAAGCAGACTCGACGACTTCCAGCCTCCCGAACAAGCCGGTTTCCGAAAAGGCTTCAGTACCATAGACCACATACATACCCTGCGGCAGATTGTACAGAAGACTGAAGAGTACAATTTGCCACTTTGCCTGGCGTATGTGGACTATGAGAAAGCCTTTGATTCCGTCGAAATTTGGGCGGTGCTGCAGTCCCTTCAGCGGTGCCAAGTTGACTGTCGGTATATCGAAGTGCTGAAGTGTTTGTACAGTTGGGCTACAATGGCTATCCGAGTACAGAACCGGAGCTCGAAACCTATCCAACTGCAGAGAGGTGTAAGACAGGGTGACGTTATATCCCCGAAACTCTTCACCGCTGCTTTGGAAGACGTTTTCAAGCTACTGGACTGGAAAGGATACGGTATTAACATCAATGGCGAGTACATCATTCACCTTCGATTTGCCGACGATATAGTCCTTATGGCAGAATCGCTGGAGGACCTTAGCACTATGCTCAATGACCTCAATGGTGTCTCCCAACGGATAGGTCTTAAGATGAACATGGACAAAACAAAGATTATGTTCAATGTCCATGTCACACCTATGCCGGTAGTTGTGGGGAGCACTATGCTTGAAGTTGTTGACGAGTACGTTTACCTGGGACAAATAGTCCGACTAGGTAAGTCCAACTTCGACCGAGAGGTCAATCGACGGATTCAACTCGGCTGGGCAGCGTTCGGGAAATTACGACACATCTTCTCGTCAGGTATACCTCAATCTCTGAAAACTAAAGTGTACAACCAGTGCGTGTTGCCAGTGATGACTTACGGATCAGAGACGTGGTCCTTCACTGCTGGCCGTATGAGGACGCTCAAGGTCGCTCAGCGAGCTATGGAGAGGGCTATGCTCGGAGTTTCTCTGCGTGATAGACTCAGAAATGAGGATATCCGCAGTAGAACCAGAGTGACCGACATAGCCCAACGGATTAGTAAGCTGAAGTGGCAATGGGCCGGCCATATAGCTCGAAGAACCGATAACCGATGGGGAAGAAAGGTTCTCGAGTGGCAGCCTCGTACCGGTAGGCGTAGTGTAGGGCGACCCCCCACTAGATGGAGTGACGACCTGGTAAGATATTTTTTTTTTTTTTTATAGAAGAGGGGGGCAAACGAGCATGTGGCTCACCTGATGTTAAGTGACTACCGCCGCCCATGATCAACCAAAGTTTCCCTCTAACAGTCATGGTGGTAGACTTTGAGGAGGAGAACTTCAGTCGATTCCTTAGCCCCCATTCCCGTACAAGGTCCAGAGTGACCCGGGCCCTGGATTCAATACCTGCTCTCGTTTCCGATTCAACCAAGATTGTGACATCATCGGCATAGGCAGTCATGGCAACTCCCTCAGGCAGAGGGAGTCGAAGCAAATCGTCCATCAGCACGTTCCACAGTGTTGGGCCCAGCACGGAGCCTTGAGGACATCCCATGGTCGAAGTCTTCCACTCTACCTGGTCCCCGATGTAGAGGCCCACACGCCTGGAGGTGAAGTAGTCCACCAACATTTTATAAATGTTAGGTGGACATCCACCCCTCTTAGCTTTGACCATCATCATCGGCCACCAGGCATTGTCGAAGGCACCAGAAATATCCAAAAAGATAGCTTGCACGTAGCATGCCCGAGAATACTTTGCCGTGCTGAGCAATACTCGCAGCGCTGTTACCGTAGATCGCCCCGGAGAAAATCCGTGCTGGTGCTCGGATATCCCGTGACTAATCACAGGGGCACCCCTTAGGATTATGCGTTCAAGTAACTTACCCAAAACAGGCAGGAGCGTTATGGGACGATACGCCTTGGCGTCAGTGAGTGGCTTGTCATTACCCTTGGGAATGACAATCAATCTACCGTCCTTCCATACCTGAGGGAAAACTCCCTCTATTACACACTTGGCATACACCGAGTGGAATTCACTCGGTGCAGCCATCCAAACATTCCTAATGATTCTCGCACTCACTCCATCGAGACCCGGAGCCGTATTGGGCAAGGCCCTGACTATGCCACCCAGGTCCTCAACCGCAAGTGGAGGTGCAGCTCTACCAGAGGGCATAAACGCCGCCAGCATTCGAACCTGCCGGTGGTAAGGCTTGTCACAGCCAGGGTCGTCATCCGGACAGAGCGCAGTCATCAGGCTGTTCATGGCAACTCCCAGACTATCTGGGTGCCCACCCGCGAATGCAATCCCATTGATCACATTCGCAGGCGGACGCACCCTCCCGCTGGCCAACCTGTATGCCAGGCCCCAGGGGTCCTCATTGCCAGTATTGGCGACCCTCGTGTGATGCGCCTGCTGCACCTCCACCATCATCTTTCTATATCTCGCACGCACGCTGTGAAAAGCCATTCTGGCTATCTCCTCTGATCTACCACCCAGACGCCTTTTACTCTGCCATACACGCCTGAGCTTGCATTGCAGCTTCCGAGTTTTATCCAGTTCAGAATTCCACCATTCATACCCCGCGGAACCCCTAGGGCGACGCTCCCCTAGGCCTTCCTCCGCGGAGCGATGATGACCCCTGAGAACTCCTCCGCCAGGAGGGCCGCGGGTTTGTCCACATGCAACCATCCCATTCTTAATTTTATGATCGCCCGGAACCTGTCCCAATCCACCCCCCGGTCACGAAAACGTGGGGGATCCCTGACGGGTGCAGCGCAAGTAGTCGGCCTGCTGGTAGTGGCCGTGTATGTAATTAAATTATGGTCGCTGGCGCAGATTCCCTCATGCACTCGCCACTCAGCAAGGTATATGTCCCCAGTCGATAATGTGAGGTCCACATTAGATTCTACACCTGGCCCAGAGAAGGTATAGGGCTGGTCAGGCTGGTTCGCCAACGTTAGTTCCTGTGAGAGTATGAACGCCTCCACTTGCTGCCTCCGGTGTTCTGCAGTATGTCCTCGTCCCACGTAATGTCGGCGATCGCAGTGCCAGAGTGGCGAGTGCGCATTTGCGTCGAGGCCGACGATGACCCTTCTGCCCTTTAGGCAACTCAGGGTGACCTCCAAGTGGTGCAGGTGGTCATCAATGGTGTCACTGTATTTAAAGTACGCTGACACCATGTAGAGGTCCCTGACACCACGTAGAGGTCCATGACTGTATTCCATGAGCGGCCGAACCTGCGCCTTGTAAAGTTGCAGGCGGTGTGCCGGCATGAAATACTGTCCCGCTCTGCTGAGCACGCCAAGCTTTTTTAGAGGCCAATTTGGCCTTCCCTTCCAAGTGACCACGAAACTGCACGTCACTCGATATGTCGACGCCGAGGATTCCGATACTGGCTGAGGCAACAAGGGGAGTGCCTTGAAACTGAGGGGATACGACAAAGGGGTTCTGTTTAGCGGTTAACGCGCAAACTTGTGTCTTCTGGGGGTTAAACTGGACTAGATTTAGTCGCCCCCAATTCGAGACTCTGTCCAGCAGAGACTCGACTTCAGACACAAGTTTGTCCCGGCACTCAGAGACGTTTTCCCGAGAAATATTGGCTCGGCCGGTGTAAAGAGCATCACCAGTGCTGTCATCTGCATAGCAATGAATGCTACGGGTTTGCAACATATCATTGATATGCAGAAGAAACAGCGTTGGCGATAGCACGCAGCCCTGTGGAACACCAGCATTAATAAGCTTGCAATCGGAGCTTGCACCGTCTACAACGACCTTGATGCTCCGATCTGCAAGAAAACTGGTGATCCAATCGCACAATTTCTCGGGAAGCCCATAGGAAGGGAGCTTCGAAAGAAGCGCTTTGTGCCAAACCCGATCGAAGGCCTTCGCAATGTCCAAACTAACGGCCAATGCCTCCCCCTTGGACTCTACTGCCTCCGCCCATCTGTGAGTTAGGTAGACCAGAAGATCACCAGCTGACCTACCACGGCGAAAACCGTATTGGCGGTCACTAATCAGCTGGTGATCCTCAAGGTACCTCATGAGCTGGCAGTTTACAATGGATTCCATTGTTTTGGAGAACAAGGAGGTGATGGCGATAGGTCGGTAGTTGGACGGGTCTGTGCGGTCGCCTTTTTTAGGGATCGGGTGGACGAAAGCCGTCTTCCATGATTTTGGGACTACGCCTAGGGAGTAGGAGTACCGAAAAAGACGCGTTAAAACCGGTGCCAACTCTGGAGCACACGTCCTCAGCACAATTGGGGGGGATTCCATCAGGCCCACTCGACTTATAGATGTCCAGGGAGAGGAGTGCTTTGCGAACCAAGCGCTGAGTGAACTGCACTTCCGGCATGGAGCACTCACACCGCGGGATGGTCGGCGGCGTACTCCCCCCGTCATCGAGAGTCGAGTTAGACGCAAAGAAAGAGCCTAGAAGATCGGCTTTCTCCTTTGCGGTGTGGGCCAGTGAGTCGTCCTCCCTGTGCAGAGATGGAAGAGATGGCTGACAGAAATTCCCCTGGACAGCCTTGGCGAGAGACCAGAATGCACGGGTTCCAGAAGGAAGACGAACTAGTCTCTCGCCAATTCTGCCTATGTGCTCTGACTTTGCCTTGGCAATGACTCTTTTGAAGGACCTAGAGGCGGAATTATACTTCTTTTTAGAGCGCTGGTGTTTACATCCCTCGACGCTGATGCGTCAGCCCAGGCTCGGTAGCACTCCTGCTTATAGCATGATGCTATTTTACAGGGGCGACCAAACCATGGCTGAGATTTGCCTCCAATGGGCACCACAGAGGAAGGAATAAAAAGTTCCATACCCTGAAGTACCACATCAGCGACAGAATCCGCAACAACGTTGGGATCATCCGGCGAGAAGCAAACCCGCCCCCAAGGGTAGGATGCAAAGAAAGACCGCATCCCATCCCAATCGGCTGACCTATAGTGCCAAACACGGCGGCAGCCTGCAGAATGCAACCGCGATTTCAGCGTGAGTGGCACCACACTCCGGACAAGACAATGGTCCGAGGAGCCTAAAGGGGCGTCGACGGAAATCTGATATCCGTCCGGGTGAGAGGTCAGCAGAAGGTCCAACAGGGAAGGTGCATGATCCTCCACATCTGGAATCCGCGTAGGCGAAGTAACCAGTTGTGTCAGACCATATGCCAAGGCAAAATCATGAACAGATCTCCCCGCATGATCGGTTAAACGTGAACCGAGCCATTCGGCGTGATGATATGCAGGAAGTCGATGGATGCAGGTGGCTCAGGACCGTGCTTTGTGGCATTACTTGGGGGAGGCCTATGTTCAGCAGTGGACTTGTGAAGGGCTGTAATGATGATGGTAAATTATAAGAAATTTAACGCTGCTGCCCGTCACTGGTCTCGATTTGTTCTCTGGCCCGTCACTGGTCTCGACCTTACTTACGCTTGCCACCATATGCTTGCATAGACATGCTAAGATTATTGTTCGTTAAAAATTATCGATTTTTGGTCGTACTCATAACTAAGAGAGAAAGAGGGACAGAGAGAGATGAAAAAAGAGAAAGAGAGCAAAATAAAGCATTTCCTAAATTTACGTCGATTTTATAACTAAGGTTGTTTACGCAAATACTGCATATTTATTATACTAGTTCTATAAATTACATCACCTTTTCCTGCATACATTTTTCTTTAATGGTTGCTTTTTTACAATAAAAGAATACGTGATAGCGAAATGCAGTGATGCAGTTTACGAAGCACGGAATCGATTCGAAGGTGAAACGTGAATTCAATTTCGAGCTCACGATTTGCCGAATATCTACTCTTAATTTAAAACCAAATTTGGTTTTAGTGCTATAAATTTTAAAATAAAACGAATTCAATTTTGCATTTAAAATTAAGACTAGATCAAATACATTAAAAATTAAAGTAAAAGCAGACACATCCTTGATTACTGTTTTTAAAGATGCTGTTCCAAGAAACTTGTACCAAAGAAGGTCTGTGCTCTGACGACACCATTATCTATCGATTGGACTATCATGTATATTAAGCAATTTTTTGTAATTTTTGAGATATTAATTTTTTTCTCTGATTAACAGTGTTTTTTTTTGAAATTTTGGATGATTTTAGCACAAATTTTTTCCGTGAAGTAATTCTTAGAGATTTTTGTTAGTATTATGGCTACCATGTGTGTTCGTCTATAAAAACACTAAACCAAAATTCTACCTACTAGTAGCTCTGATTTAGCTCACAAAATTAAAATTTACGTTTGAAAGAAATTTTTATTAGATTTCAAATTGAAAAAAAAGATTACTTAGTCCTGAATCAATAATTTCCAATACTTTCCTTAGCTCTCAAAATACCACAAAAAGTTAGTACTTTATAAGACATTTTTTTATAAAAAGAAGTTTAAAGTTGATGCAGTCGAAAATAGTGAAATTTATTTCATGCATTTGAAATGAATTTTCTCACACTTTTCCGATTAATATGATAAGTAATTATAAAAGTTGTATAAAAAGATTTAGAAGAATTTTACTCGCAAGTGCAACATTTATTTCAAGCAGCTATGTGGTGCAAGGAACAGGTAGTGTTCAAAAAAGACATCAGTAGTTATGACAAAAGCACGGCCTACGTTTATCTAACTAGAAACACGCTTTTTTCTTTGTCATCGTCACAATGATCAGAAGATTATCGCCTACTCTTGCTCTCGCTCGTACGTACGTTACTGTACTATTATTACTAGTACCTTGATGACCGAGCTTTGCTCGTTATTTTTTTTGGAAATTGTGTTTTTTGTAAATTATAAAGCTGGGGCAAAAATTATTGCACTTTTGAAACATGAATAGAAATAAAACTACAAATGTTATTTTGTTGATAATTTATTTATCGTAATAACCATTTAATGAAATTTATTTTTTAAAAACGACATCGTCCAAATGTGCGCCGTCTCGTTGTTGGCACTCCTGAAATCGACAACGCAAACTTTGGAAAACTCGCTGACACATGCTGCGGGGGATCGCGGCTATCTCCTCGTGGATTTTTTTGTTTTAATTGGGATATTGTCGTCGGTTTATTAAGGTACACTCGACTTTTCAGGTATCCCCACAAGAAAAAAATCGCATGGTGTAAGGTACGGGCTTCTGAGAGGCCAAGAGATATCACCTCTGCGAGAAATCAATTTGTTCGGAAACATTTCTTTGACTACCGGTAAACTCACATTTGTCGTATGGCATATTGCTTAATCTTGTTGCATCCAGGTCCTGTTGTTGTACCCTTGAAATTCATGCAACTGCGGCGTCAAAAAGTCTTGCAACATCTTGACGTATTCCATTGAATTCACAGTTACATTATTTCCTTGATAATTTTCAAAGAAATACGGACCAATTATGCCCTTTGCTGATATGGCAGCTCATACTGTCGTTTTAGGTGAATGAAGTGGCTTTTGGTGTTTAAGGCGAGGGTTGTCCCTGCTCCGATATCGACAATTGTGCTTATTCACGTGCCCATTGATGTGAAAATGGGTCTCGTCCGTAAACAATACATTCTCAAGGCTAGAGAATTGCTCCAACATAGTGTCAGCCAATAACTTACGTTGAATGTAATCATTTGGTTTCATCTCCTGTACAATTTGAAGCTTATATGGGTGTAGTTTGAGGTCCAGATGCAAAATCCGCTATAGATTAGTTCTTGGTATTGCCAGAGCCGCCGAACGCTTACGCGTAGATGATTCTGGATCGTTCCGTATGGATATTTCAACCTCTCGAACGTTCTCATCACTTCTTCTTAAACGTGGCCGCCTTGTTTGTTTAATATACGTTGTTGATCCCGTTTGCTCGAACTTCTCGACCCAAGCTTTGATCAAATTAGCACTTGGACACGCACTTATACGGCGTAATCCATATTTAATTCTAAACATAAAAATTTAATCCTTACTACATTGTTATTGTTAACTAGCCAGTAAGAAGTTGTGAAGAGATCAATAAATAAACACAAAAAGCACGCTGTTGTCCCGTGAAGCGCTCCATTTTGACTAAAATTGCATGAAGTGACGCAGTTTCCCGCCACCCGCGCACCCCTACCTTGAACGGTTTTTCAAAATAATCTAGTGTTGCTATTTGCAAAAATTTTTGGTACTTAGATACAAATTACATACTGATGAAACATGAATAAAACTTTTGGATTTTCTCGGTCATTATTTTTCGTGTTTAAAAAAATATACTAAATAAAAGGGCTCCTAATAATATATTTTCTCATAAAAGAAGGAACTTGAAAAAAAGGAAAAAGAGTCAGACCGGAGACATTTGTTCGAACCGGTGTTCTATGATTTCAGGACCGCCCGATATCCCATTTGAGCTGTTATAACCTTTTAGGCACCGGCAAAATTTACTTTCGTATTCTAATGATATTGTAGCAGTTTTTCATTGCCTAAAAATATGAATAAAACAACATTCTCTAAAAATAAGTTCTAGCTAGATCGATTTATTGCCCCCCTGTATTGAAGTAATATATATATATATATATATATATATATATATATATATATATATATATACAAAATTTTCGTTTAAAGGTACTAGATTATTGGATTTTGTGTACTTGGCTTGTAGTTTAGACTTTGATTGCATACTGATTTGGACATTTTAATTCCCTGGAGCAATAATTAGGCACGTTTACTGGATTTAGATATTGTGCATTGTTATTATGGTGTACTGCAAACGGGATTATTCAGAGATGAATAATTATTATTATGGATAGGCACGTGGAAATGCCGGACTTGCTGCAAGATTGTACCGGGACATGTTGATACGCAGAGGAAGGTGAACAAGTTCCTCCCAGATCTCGATACTTGCACTCGCGTTTAGGTAAATAAAACACGGAAGTATGATATGAGAACATCATCTTTAATAAATCGAAGCGGACCCTATACTATATTAAAATACCGATATGCTAGCGTGTTGTATTTTACTGCGAACGCCATCTAGTGACGGCGGATTAAAACATTTGAATGGACATTATTATAATTTTTGGTTCAACATCACGCCCACCAAGAACGTATCTACGTTACTTTTTTTATAAATGATTTAACTAAAT